GTGTAAAATGTAAATAAATGCAAAATAAGTGAGGCTAGGAAGAAAGTGACAGAATGTACATGCCAATGAAAAAGAAAGAAAATGCTAATTTATTATATTTTATTAGAAAACAAGAAACATTTATCTAGTTTATTTGCTTTTAATTTATACTTATTTTATAATCTGTAGTGTTTTGCTGACCTTGAAAGCATTATATACACATTTTGTGTAGCACAACACATAAAACGCGTTTTTTTGCAAGCCACCTCAGGTATGTATATATAAGTGAATGCTACGATGGGAGCAACAATTGGCGATTTACAGGTCGATTGTTTCAAAATTTTTGAGAGATTCATTTGTGGCTATGTTGCCGCGGCGAAAAATAAATAATTAGACGACAAGATGGAAGGTATATTGAAAACTCCTTGTACGTAATCAAAGCAATAATACTTCTAAATATATCAGATCGAATTGTTCATTCTGTCGCAATATTATTAATGTAGAAAAAAGAGATACAAATATTAAGAAAACGCCGGTTACTTTTTAAGTCTAGGGGCATATGCATTATAGCACGAAACACTCAGTAAAGTCAATATCAGTCAAAGTTTGGTACAAAGAAGAAATAGCTTTCATGATCTGGCGAGTATTTGGATAGAAAACAAAGCCACGCGAAGATCTGTTTTCAGCCAAGTAGTGGCGGAAATCCAGCTCAATGTCGTTGATAAACTGGTCGCGTTCGCTCGGAGATAGGTCGTCGAAGGCCCGATCGCTGTTGTGGATGCCTGTTGACTCTGGTAACGCAGAGTTGTAGTGGTGGATTGTAGTTGAGCCCTTCATATTGTGTGCTGTGTAATCAATAAAAATATATTTATGAGATAATGCGTGTCGTGAAGTTGAGAGTAATGGGTAAGAAAAGCCGTAGGGAACAAAAATACAATATTTTTAGGATCGAGGGAACAAAGGCCCTTAAATACTTATTTTTCGGCTGTGATGGGGTGGGTGTGTTAATAGCCGAGCCAGGCGCAAACATTTATATATTTATCTTTGCCGCCACAATATGATTTGCCAATATAAAAAATAGTGGGGCAGGTGGATGCGGAACCGGCCATGCTCCAATATTCGATTGGTCATCAGGTCTATAAAAATAGAACATTTCCAATTAAAAAATTTCCCAACAATATCGGACAAGTAAAGGGAACTGGGCGTCCAAACCATCAGATACAAGCAGCTAATACAAAAGCCACATGTTTTCAATATTGCAAAAATAAAAAATCCAATTAGAAGAGCTTGTAGCACGACCAGCTCAAGGACACCTGATACGCCTCCAAAATCTTCTCGACATTCGCAGTGTCCTTCGCAGCACCTACCGCCACATGCAAGGGGAGCAGGTGCTCGAGCGTAGGATGCGCCTTGTACAAGTAATCCGACTCGCTCAGGGCCAAGATTCCCTGCTCGCGGTTCTCCCCCGACAAAAGAGCAGTCTCGATCTCCTTATCGAATGGGCGCACATACGAGCGCACGGACGTTGCCGAGGCGCCAAAGTAATCGCGAAGGTTATGCACCGCCATGCCGCTGCCCACAATGACCACCCCCTGTTCGCGTAAAGGAGCCAACAACTGGCCGAGGTGAAGGTGTTGGGGCATGGAGTCGCTGCGGAAAAGCGACAGCTGGATAATTGGGAATGGTGCGTTTTCCAGCCCAGCCTTCTTCAGCACAACCCAGGCGCCGTGATCCAACCCGCGGTCTACGGTTTCCACAGGGATGCCGCCCTGCGTGAGCAGCTGGGCAATCTGTTGTGTCAGCGCGGGCTCTGTCTTATGTGCAAACTCCTCCTTGTATAGCCACGCCGGGAAGCCACCAAAGTCATAGATTAGCGGCTTGGGAAAGGCGCTTTTGCCGTTGATCTGGAGTGATTTGCCGTTGTTGGATTCCCAGTGACCGCTGAGTACAAGAAGTGCGCGTGGGTTTTGGGCGCGAATATCGTCGCCAATTTTGCGTAGAGCCTTGGATATAGCGCCGGTCGGGGGGTAGTCGGATTCGTCCAGGAGGTTGGGCCCACCGTGGCTGACAAAGTAGACGGGCACCGGGGCGGTTGTAGTCATAGTGTAAATGGCGGGAATGGCTGTGTTAATGACTTTGGGTGTTTTGGATGGAAAAAAGAAACGATTCAAGACGTAGAAAGATATGGCGATGAGTAGAAGCCTTGTTAGAGGCGACATAAATCAAACAAGGAAAAAATGATAAAGGTGGTGCTGGTAAAAAATAAAAAATGGACAATCGGGTTTGACGCACATCTGTCCCTTTTTAAACCAAACCCTTATTTGACAAAACACCGATTTGTAAGTGGTCTTTCGATCTTTCTCGCGATTTGTCATCTCAGCTGGCCATCAATGTCGCCGCCACTGCCGCCATGTCGATTACAAATTGTAAATTACAAATTGGCAATGCAAATTAAGGGCAGCGTAATCGCGTAATCGTGCTCTGAGGAATAGGGTGCGGGGGTAAGATGAGATCACATGTGCAGCGTTTGCTTAGCTGCTGCTTATCTCTTATGTGGCGCGCTGCAACTCACATTGACGACTTTTCACATGCGTGGGTATTTTGCATCCATTGGAATTTCGCTCTTAGAAAAGACAAAGGTAGCACCAAGAGGCACAATGACTTTCGAAGGCACTCTTTTCATCTTTACTATCATTTTTTATTAACCGCGTTAAAGTAGAAATAATACACACCCACAAGCCTTTCAAACATGTACACTCCCGTTTTAAGAAGACTCGTTGCGCTCGGCGGTGGCCATGCCATGCGCGCGTTCAGCAGCTCGGCAGCAGTGTCCGAAGCTATCAAGCGCATAACGGTGGTGGGCGGCGGCCAGATGGGTGCCGGTATTGCGCAGGTGGCAGCCACATTCGACCACCAAGTGACCCTGGTCGATGTCAGCCCCGAGGCATTGGAGCGCGGTCGCCAGTACATGGGCAAGTCCCTGGGCCGCGTGGCCAAGAAGAAGTTTCCAGAGGATCCCGCGCAACAGACCAACTGGGTCGATTCGATCCTGGGCCGCATCCAGGGCTCGACCGAGCTGTCCAAGGGTGTTTCCCAGGCCGACCTCGTCGTCGAGGCCATTGTCGAGAACATCAACGTAAAGCAGCGCTTGTTCGCAGATGTCGCGCAGACCGCCCCCGCCGACTGCATCCTGGCCAGTAACACCAGCTCGCTGCCCATCGGTCGTATTTTCGAGAATGTCAGTGCCGAGCGCAGAGCGCTGGCCGTCGGCTTGCACTTCTTCAACCCCGTTGCACAGATGAAGCTGGTCGAGGTTGTGCGCACAGGGGAGAACAGCGAGGAGACTGTGCAGAAGGCGTTGGACTTTGTGCGTGCCATTGGCAAGTCGCCGGCGGTGTGCCAGGACACCCCCGGGTTCATCGTCAACCGTCTGCTGCTGCCCTACATGATGGAGGCCATCCGCCTGCTGGAGCGCGGTGTCGCTGACTCGCGCGACATTGACACGGCGATGAAGCTGGGCGCTGGGTACCCCATGGGCCCCTTTGAGCTGGCGGACTACGTCGGCTTGGACACCGTCAAGGCTATTGTCGATGGCTGGTACACCGATGGCGAGGGCCTCAAGGGCGACTCGTTGTTTATGCCCAGCCCCAAGCTCAACGAGCTGGTGGCTGCCGGCCATTTGGGCGTCAAGTCCGGCAGGGTTTCTACAACTACAAAAAGTAAACTAAAATCAGCCGCTCAGTTTTTTCTCCCAAATATTTAATTAATCGATCGATCGTTATCAATATTGAATTACAGTTTGCATTTGTATTTGCATTTCCGCTGTCGTTATCCTTATCGCATCATCTTCATGACCTCCTCGTAAACGGCAAACACAATGGCGCCCGAGAACATCAGGCGCGCCAGCCGTGGCGTTGCGCCCTTCCACAGCGCAGCGGGCCCTCGCTGCTAACGACGCTTGCAAAACAATGCAGGGACCCGCGATGCTCTGCCGCAGCGCCCGCCTGCATCCGCGTCTTGACGACGTCCAGCGGCATCGTGGCGTAGACCGTAATAATCCCCGCACACATGCCCAGCGCAAAGGCCTCAGGACCCGAAACCGCCCTCCCCGTGCGCGCCACCAGCGCTTGTTTGAGGGAATCGTAGGCGGCAAAGCGCACGCATGAGTTTGCGCCCTGCCTGGCCATCACCGACGCCACGCCCCTGTACAGGGTCCTTACGCCACTGCCGCGGCTGAAAATATCGCGCACGCAGTCGGCTGTGCCACCGAATCGCTGGCGTGGCATGCATTGGTCGTGAATCAGCCGCGTCTTCACAGCCTCCGCCGGCGCTACCACCAAGCCACCCTCCACTATGCCGGCGCACAGGCCAGCGAGCATCATTCTTCCCATGGTCAAGTTTCCGGACGAGTCGCGGAGCCGCGCCTTGATCGAGTCGTATGTGAGGAAGCGCACGCCGGCCTTGGCAGCGTTCCCTGTGAGCATCGGGGTGAGCCCACGGTAGAGGCCTGGGATGCCCTGGGTTTTGAGTGTCGACCGGAGGCAGTCTAGAGCCCCGCGGTATTGGTGGCCGCCCTGCTGCATGTACTGAACAGACCCTTGCAGCTGTAGCTTGGTCTTTATTAGCTCCGTCGGGTATGTTACCGCCCCCTCGACTGCGCCAGCTACTGTGCCTGCGAGCAACGAGCTCATGGCGCTGTCCTACACTGAGAACGGTAGTCACTTATTGCTTGTTCAGATCCGCTTTTTTCTTTCTTGTCACTGTGGCAATGCTCGTGCATGGATTTCTATTCCCCTTTTCTGCTGTTGTTATTTGTAAGCGCTTCAAATACCTTTTTGGCATTCGCCATATGTCCCGTCTCCTCCTTTTTGCGATATGAACGGCGTGAGGGAACTTGCTTTTTTGTGGATATACCGCTTTAGTAACTTTTTTTTGCTAAGCGGGTGGCCAAAGTTTGTGCGCGCGCAAAGGGAAATCGGAAACTGCCCGGATTAAAGCAAGTGGCTGGAAAAAATAAAATAAAAATATACGATATGAAGCAAGAGGCGCGAGGCACGATAAAAAAAGTGACGCGCATCGTATCTCCTGGAATTCTACGGTCGAATCTCCAGCTCGATGGTGGTCATCTCCCTCCTCATTTGCCCCCTCTTGTTCTCGATCCTGCGTGCACGTGTCAACGGTGAATTCTAGATCACTTGGTCTATTTTTCAATGACCAACTCCCCAGGGTTCATTCCCACCCCCCACATCACCTTGTCTCTTTCTCTGTGTTGTTTCTTGCCATGCCCGCTGATTCATCTCAATCCTGAAAATCAAACAAAAAACTTGTTATTGGGTATCTTCCGACATATTTTGTTTGTTTGGTATCTGACTATCGTTTTCTACTCTACAAAAAATCTATGCAGAGACCACTTTTTACTTTCCCTTTCCTTTTCCACTCCACCGTACAAATATAGACAATTGGGCTCTCTTTTGACCAGGAAAGGGAATACAAGGCAGTATTTTGGTTTTAATTTATTTCCCTGCGCAGAAAATTTTTATTAACATGGAAAATGATATTTTGTATGTCAATTTTTTTCACCCGTCGGCATGACCTGAAGAATGATCCACCCGGATAGTTCCTGAATATATTGTTCTTGCTCCGAATCCAAATGAAAAATACATTTGTCACATTGTCAAGATTATTTTGTCCTATCTAAAAAGAAAACAAAAATGAGTAAAAAAAAGTGCTTCACTGCACCTGATCCGTTTTTTTCTCTTCCTCGACTTCTCAACAAAAAAATTAGTGTTCTGCAAAGAAGAGCCAACTTTTTTTTCGAGATGATTTTTATTTTTGACAACAAATCTGAGTTGCAACTCAACACTGTAAACCCGATGCCCTTTTTTCTATTTTCCTTCACCTATGCGCGCTGAAGTTCTGTTTCTGCCAGGTTCCGAGATTTTCATTCCCAACTTTCCTACTTTATTTTTTTGTTTGTACATGCTTTTTTTAACACAGTTTCTTATGTATACTATTTTTTGATGGCAAGTGTCTGAGCTGTAGTATCAAAGTGCAGGTGCCATGTTCTTTTACAGTCGTCTTTACCGACCAGGCTGGGTATATAAAATTGACAAGGTCTTTTCATTTCCTTTGTCTTTTGTAGTTGTTCTTTGTCTTCCTTGTCATTATAGTCATCATCTTCATCATTATCCTTTATCATTAACATCACTCATACAATACACATCCCCTCTTTTTTATTTACTAAACAATTATAATTCTTTCATTTATTTATTTTATACACACTATATCCTACATTTTGTACTTTATTCCAAAACTTTTATCATTTTCACATGGTTGTTGCCGCAACCAAGCTTGTGCCGGCCTTTTTAGGCGGCTTTATCTGCATATACGGCCTGGTCTCGGGCTTTATGAAACAACGCCTCTATCTTTCCGAATCCCTCGTGGCCATGGTTTTTGGGATAATTATCGGTCCCAAGGTGTCCAACGCATTAGACCCGCGGGACTTTGTCGACACAGATAATTTCACACTAGAGTTTTCACGCTATGTCATTGCTATCCAGGTGGTTGTGGCCGGCATCACGTTGCCGCGCCGCTACATATTGCAAAAGTGGCGGACCATGTCTGTGCTCCTCGGTCCAGTAATGATTGTGATGTGGCTTGTGTCTGCCGGAATCATCCAGTTGATTTTTAGGTTAGGATTCCTCGAGTCCCTGCTTATTGCCTCGTGTACGGCGCCGACGGATGCCATTTTGGCCAACTCCGTGATGAAGGGGAATTACGCCGAGACTAATGTGCCCAAGAATGTCCGCGACGCACTTTCGGCCGAGTCTGGTATTAACGACGGCTTCGGGATGCTGTTTTTGTACTTTGGGCTGTACATGCTGAACAGCAACTACTCGACGGGCTACGCTATCGGCCGCTGGTTTTATTGGATCTGGTGCTACCATATGCTTCTCTCTATCGTCATTGGAATTGTTGTCGGGTATGTTGCGCGAAAGCTCCTGCGGCTGGCTGAGACGCACAACCTGATTGACAAGGAGTCGTTTTTGGCGTTTTCTATCGGCTTGGCTATTTTCATTGTCGGTATTCTGCAGCTGATCCACAGCGACGACATCCTGTGCTGTTTTGTCGCCGGCCATGCCTTTACATGGGACGATTGGTTCCGGCAGGAGACCAAGGACGCGCATTTCCAAGAAATTCTCGACGGTCTGGTCAATGTGGCGTTTTTCATCTACTTTGGCACCATTATCCCATGGCATGATTTCAACAACGCTGTGTTGATGCTCACCCCCTGGCGCCTCATCGTCGCTGCCATTATGATTCTGCTCCTACGCCGCATGCCTATTGTTGTGCTGCTCACCCGGATAACACCGGCGTTCAGAAACTATCGACAGTCTATTTTTGCAGGCTGGTTTGGGCCGATTGGCGTCGGCGCTCTTTTCTTTGCCCAGACTATTCACAAGGACTTTAAGCACGAGCCTGAGCACTTTCACTATGTCTCGGGGGATATGGTTGTGCCCATCGTTAGTTTCCTTGTTTTCTCCTCCGTTCTAGTCCACGGTATCACCGTGCCCCTGGCGCATATCGGCAAGGTTGTGCGCAGCCGCAGCAGATCCATATCGTCTGTGTCCATCCGCAATGGAATCGCCAGCCGTCTGTCCTTTGTCAATTCGCGCGAGCCCACGGGCATCCACGGTGTCCACATTCCAATGATTAACCGAAATAGCAACAGTCCTTTGGATCTCATTAATGCGCAGAGCAAGCGCAATAGCCGGACAGTCTTTGACCTTCCCATAACCACTGATGACCAGTCACCGACCGTTGATAACAGCAAGGAGCCGTCTCCCAGTGCGTCCGAGAAGGGCGGCAACAACGACGACGAGCAGCCACCCTTGCCGTCTCTCGAGCTCAGCCGCTCCATCACCATTGACGATAAACCCAAGGTATCCCGCGACCAAATGGACATTCATTATCGGATAAATATCTTCCGCAGACACCACGGCCATCATCAGCCATTAATGTTGCCGCAGCGCAGGCAGACACCTTCAGCGCTCAGTAGTCCAAAGTACTCGCATTTGCAAATGCCCAGTCCGCCCATTATGCCCGTTAGATCCCAGAGCGTGTACGAGGTTGGTGGCGAAGCGCCGGTTTCGGATGATGACATGAAGGGCGTGGATAGGCTTGTTGGCGAAGGATTGGGCATCAGCGTGCGCATTGCGGATATGTATCGGTCAGATATCACACAGGGCAGAGACAATGATGTAGACGAGAAGAGTCTCGCATTGGGTACCAGCACGCCGTCAGCGGCCGAGAATACCAAGAGTGCCACTGGGACTATCCCGGCAGTTGTCGCTGCGTCCAAGGAGGAGGTTGTGCAGCAGGGGTATGAGTACGACGGCCTGTTGCTAAATGCTGACAATGCCATTGCCTCGCTTAAGGCCTCGCGCTCTGCCACGCGGGAAACCAGACTGGGCGCTGCCGAGATATTTAAGGTTCGACCCCGCACCAGTGACATTCTGCAAACCCCTCTGCCCATCCACTCATCAGCACCCCCAACCATGCCCATGCCCATGCCCATTATCGAACCTGAGACTAGCGGCGTTACCATCAGCACTCAGAATGGGATTCAGTCCGGAATTAGCAGCGGCAATGGCAACAGCAGCAGCGCTCCATTACGCCGACAGAGAACTCGTACAAACAGTCAGCTCAGTACGCTCCCCATGCGGCGCATCATGCGTAAAAACAGGAGACAGCGTAATGTGGCAACCGACGGCAGCGAGCAGGTTTGCCAGTTTATCGGCAACCACAAAAATCCGCTCGGCCGGCTAGAAAATGGCGAGCTTGTCGACTACGACGATCCAAACGACCATGATCGAGAGGAATCGTTCACTGATAAGAATATCGACGACCGGTTTATTGACTATTTCAGGATGGATATTGGAGAAAATATTCGCCGGCTGACATCCAAGCTTTCTGTTTTTGGAAGAAGCAAGCAACCAGTTGACGATGAGGAGCGCAATGTGGGAGAAGCCAGCGGTGGGTTTCCCGTATAAATAGCGTTTACTGTTTTAATGTAAAATACGCACATTGTCGCAAAACATACAAATTCATAGTATTGTACGGGGCAGGCATAATAACTAAGAAACAATTATATGTATTTATTGCCTATTCAAAAATTGTGTACCAAGTATATGTATTTTTGAGAATTAAAATTCAAATTACAAAAAACAAAAGACTATAAACACAAAAACAGTTGCTGCATCTAAGGACAAGAGCATTTATAATATTAGTGTTTGCTCATGCAAATTAAAAAATACATGTGCAAAAGCTATTGTATTAATAAAACTAATACATTTTAAATCTGATATAACCTGCTGTCTTATCTTTAAATTCAACAATTAGACCGCCTTCGTTAAATTTAAGCGTTTCTCCACACGATACATAGATTTCTTTCTTAATTTCCTGATAAGAATAAGGTAGGACATCTTTGTCGTGCTCTATAAAAATGTGGGTCTAAATCGATATATTCAAGTCTTAAAAATTACTTAACTGAAAAAGGGGGGCAGCGCTGTGTGGGCAGTGCTGTAAACATCATGGTGTTCCTTGATGTCAGCCAGCAATAACAGAAATGTGTATAGTGGCCATGAGGGCAATCTTGATTCTTGAAAAGGGAAGATAGTGGCTTGAAATGTGTGTTGGGCACCACAGCATAGGCCCACCAGCTCTTCTGCTGCGGCGTTATCTGGTACTGGTAGACGTTGGGATAGCAAATGCAGCGGCCATCCTTGATATTGACTTTGTCAGCCCTTTGAATGCAATAACTTTGTCCATACAGAGTGTCGCCGAGTCCAAGTGTACGTATTTGTTCACTTCTGTCTGATATTTCAGGGCATTTGCCAATGAACTCGCGGAAAACCAACTCGCTCGAATTACTATTTTCCGCATTGTAGAAGTACATTGCCGTCGCGATGATACTCTCTAAATTGCTGCAGTCTGCCTGCCATTGAAGGAGAGTGCACTCGGAATCTTCCGGCGTAAGATAAACGTTGTGTATCTCGACAATGGCCTGGAGGTTCTGACCGTGGAGACCATTGAGCAACAACATGCTACTTGGCTTGGAAAATTTGCCAGGGGGATTTTGGTTTCTTCGCATTGCCAAAGTGTCTGTTAGTCTCGTCACAGCCATTAGAACTTTCATATCCACCAGGTTCAATGTTACTGTCGTTATTGTGAGTGCAAAAAGTCTTATGGATTTGCAAATGGCCTTCAAACGGTTATTTGGCACGGGCGTGTTGCTGGTGCGCACAGCAGGTAAGCATTTGCTCCAGGAGCAGTACCCACTTTGCCAAAGCTTCGGAAAGCATGCCATAGGCCGCAGTGTGCTGACTGTTAAAGATGTTATCGATGTACAACTTTATATTAACCGAACCATCCACGTTGACACAAATGTCTGTTGGCAACCAGGCACAAACAATCAAATTATTTTGTGCAAAGTGCTCTTCATGGAACAGAATGTAGGCACTGTAGTTAGGTGTCGGCTGTTCCTCGTCGTTAGTCCTGTTCTTTGCCGCATTGAGCATGCGCTGGTTGATACAACGGGCTGCTTCCTCCCATGCCTTAAAATATTTGGGGGACGTGGTCGCAGTTGGAAAGACGGGGCGCATCCTCAGGACAGGCCATCGGCTGTGGCAAAAATTGACGACCAGCAGGCATTGAATGGATAGAGCGACGGGTCGACCAGGCGCAAAATCTTACATTTGGATTCTCTTCTGACAAACTCTTTGGCGCTTGTTCTCTAGTTGGCCTAGAATATGGATAATGGAGGTGAGCGGGTTGGCCAATTGCGCATAGGACAATATTTGAGCGTTTTTACCATGTTTGAGGAAGAAAAAGATATAAAGAATGTTGAATGGAAAGAAAAAGAAAAAATGAAATTAGAATGCGCTTAGTTGACTTTTTTTGGCTCGTTCGTTGGAAACAAGTACGCTGGCATCAACGATTTGCAATGAATGTAATTTTGTTAATCTACACGTAAAGTTACTAACACATTTTTGGCTGTGATTGATACGTGACGTCACCAACCCTAAGCATGCTCTTATGTGTGTGATATTTCAGCCCCCGGCCCTTGTCCTTGTACTTCATTTTTTCTTCTCTCTATTTTTGTCTTGCAATTTCCCATTCACTTATTTTGAATTTGTGATTTTTTTTACAATTAAGGTAATTTATGCAGCGCGCATTCCAACGAGCGTATACTTCAGTTAGTTTCATGGCGCCAATGGTCGCAGGGAAAATGAGCACACACCAACCTCGACTCCAAACTCTAGCCCAGTTAATTCCGCCACTGACCTACGACTTGCACAAGGGTGACTGCGGGCGTGTAGCGGCAATCGGCGGGTGCGAGGAGTACACTGGTGCGCCATACTTTGTGGCCTCCACAGCGCTGCGTCTCGGCGCGGATATTGCGCATGTCATATGTGAGAAGGACGCGGCATCAGTTATCAAGGGTTACTCGCCAGATATCATTGTCTATCCGTATTTGCGCTCCACAGTAAATAAGCAGGACATGGAGTTGGGTGAGATTTCGCAGAGGGTGGGCCGGGTCTTGGATAAGATGCACGCAGTGTCGATTGGATCGGGACTAGGCAACGACGACAATATAAGGGAGAGCGTGGGCCGGGTCATTGTTGCCGCCAGGGAGCGTGGTATCCCCATGGTCCTGGATGCTGACTCCTTGGCCTTGGTCGGTCGGGATCCGGATCTTGTCCGTGGGTACCAAAATGCCGTGCTGACGCCGAACGCGCCAGAGTTTGCCAGGCTGTGCGACTCACTGGGAATTTCCAAGGAGGACGCAGAGTCGGAGCATGCGGCACAGCTGGTTGCTGAAAATCTGGGCGGTGTTACCATAGTGAAGAAGGGTAAGAGCGACGTAATTACCAATGGTAAGACCACCTTTATATGTGAGGAGCTTAGTGGGCTTCGCCGGTGCGGTGGCCAGGGCGATATTCTGAGCGGCGCAATTGCCACGTTTTTGGCATGGGGCCACAAGTACAAGAAAGGGAAGTGGAAGCATACTGGTGGCGAGGTTGATTTTGCGGACATTCCGATGTTGGCTGCGTACTCGGCATGCTTGGTTGCCCGGCATGCGTCTTTCTTAGCGTTTGATGAGTGTGGGCGGGCCACGCAGTCGACCAGCATTTTGGACCAAATCGATATCGCCTTTGACAACAAGTTCGACGAGGTGCTCAAGGCGGTGAGGCCACCAAAGAAATAAGATTTAAAATTTTATTTGTCTAATCAGATTGCTATAATGCTAAACGGCAGTTGTCCCTGACACTTGGAGGTCCGATGCGCCCGTGTATGGCGTGTCCACGTCAAACCCGTATTTCGAAACCAAGTTGTCAGCCCTCATCTTTGCAAACCACTTCTCCTTATACTTCTCCCTATGGAAAAGGCAGTTGTACGCGGGCGTTCCCAATAAGATAAACAACGAAGTCTGGCAAGACAAATATTCGAGAAAAACCGTTGTCAACCTCGCCCAGCGAGCAATAATGTATTTGCGAAAAATGTTGTGCAGGATTGTCTGGTAAACAAGAGTGACAAGGCACAACAGGCAGATTAGCAGCATTTCGCGATACTCGTTGAATGAAGTGTTGATATGCCGCACAAGAAAGGCCAATATTAGGACGCTTATGCACCCGACCCAGGCAAGTGTAAATGCCATTTCGGTGAACACCAGGCCGTAGTGACAGACCCTGTGTGTGTAATCGTATTCGACTGAGAGCTGGTGCTGAAGTATTGTTGTAGGGATGCTGTAAACTGCAATGATGGCGATGTATGTGATGGTTCCGTAGAGGTAGACCCGATATGTGATGGGGTTGAGCTTGTCAAATATTTGATAGTAAATGTATAGGCGCATCGTGTGAACATAAATGAAAAGGAATACTCCAAAAATTACCCGAAGCCATGAACCAAATAAAATGCAGCTGTGTATGATTTGGAAGGTGTTGGGAAGGTTAAAATGTGTTCCAATAGTTCCCAGGAACCAAATAAGCATGCTTAGGTACAGGGCGGTAATAAGCGGGATGTGTTTAGCTTTTATCGGCGGATAACGACGGTTACAGAGGACATAAATAAATAACAGCGTGTTTGTAGTCATCAGCAATACACCAAAGACAAGTGCGAATAGGTCCCATCCCGCAAATATGTCAGTTTGAATGGGTGTTTCATGTGAGTGTCTTATCATATCTGTGACTCTGTGGGCACCATGAGCAAGAAATTTTTTAATGTTTAATGTGAAATATAAAATATAAAATGTAGAATGTAAAAAATAGAACAGTTATAATGTGAAAATAATAAAATAACGATCAAAATGATACTATCAGCTATTATTATTCTTACCCGTGGCACTGGAAAAATTAATGACTGCTACATATTTCCGTAAAAAAAAATACCACAAGCATATATGGTGGCTTTTATTTCTAGGCAGAAGAGCTTTTCATGCAACCATCTTTTCATTAAAGGTTTATAAAAGCCAAAAAAACATCGCATAAACGCATGAACTGAATTTTTGGTAAATTGGACCTGGGCTGAATCTTAATCAAAAATTGAAACAATAATCGATTAGAATTAACAAAATGGCATAGTAATATATCTTGATTTACGAATCTAAAAACAAATAAAAGGGGGAACATAAATATAAGCGGACAAACACAAAATGTGTGAAAGAAAATGGTCGGAATGTTTTATTTTCGAGAGTACTGTGAAAAGTTCAAATGCAGAAAAACAATGACATTGATAAATATGCGCACAGTGATAGATAAATAGGAAATATTGAGTATATGATATAAAATATACGTGTGCGAAATATGCGTGTTTTTCGCGTATATCCATCAAGCCAGTCGAGTCTTGTAAAATATAGGTGCATCCTTTTCCGTTTAGTGAATTTCAAAAAAGGTTTTATTGGCTCTTTAAATCCCAAAATAATTGGTGTTACGCATGGATATTACTCTTGCCTCAATATTTACATTTGGTAGGCAGAAAAATATGGCCGGCTTTTTTTTGTGAGTGGTAATATTTCTCTTTGGGGATGTCCATTTTTTTAAATAAAAAATTGCATATATGCACGAGCGAAAAAAAATGAGCATTGTTTATTTTCAAACATGCACGAGAAAAATTAACTCGCAAGCTTGAATATCCCAAAGAGAAAAAATGAAATGAGGGAGGTTGTAAAGTATACCCACACAATTTTCTTTTCAAAAGCACGTCACCCCTCGTCCATCTTTCATTTTACATGTTTTCTATAGTATGTCGGACCAGCCATATAAAGCAGTCATATCTCCCATCCCTTTCCAAAAAATCCCCATTGAAATTCATCAACGGTCTATACATCTCAATACTATTTCAGCACCATTGAATATTTTATTAATTACTATTATATTTTATGTTTCACCACTCGATTGACGGTGGCATGAAACCGTTGGACGACCAGACCGCGGATAAGCGTGCCACCAGTCCAATATCAATTAGCAACATGTGGACGCCATCATTAACCCAGCGTACCGAGTCCTTTGACTCGATTAATTTTATAGATTCACCAGGGCATCGTATTTTCTCCGTCCCAGATCATTTCTCCACACAGCCCAATATTCAGCAGCAGCAGCAACAACACCAAATATATTCTGCACCAATGCATTTCTCCAATGACGAAGTTATTTTCCAGCAACCATCTCATTTATCGCCTAATGGGTTGACTGCAAATTTCAGTCAGTTATATTCCTCTTCTCAACAACAGTGCTTCCAGCAGCAACAACAGCAGGTGTTTTATCCGCAGTTGAATAACAGTCAAAACCAGGTACATTTGCCTACCGATCTGCTCTACCCATGCTACCCGCAGCAGCCCCACGATATTCCAGCACAAGATCACTCGATGATGATGCAATATCCATTGTCATCAGTACCAGCGCTGCCGCTGCCCTCCCTGCCGTCTTTGGACACCACTAGACCAAGATTGATAAAAACCAAGGACCTCGAGCAGCAGCGGAATCAGCAAAAAGTGTGCTCCAACTCGTCGTGCCA